TCCATTTCAATAAATATTTCCTTTTCCCTGTAGCATGGCGACTTTAGTGAGGTGGTGACTTTAGTGGCATTGGCGGTAGTCAGTCTGTCAAATAATTATTTGGATTTTAAATATTAGTCAGAAATTGCTTGAATTCAGGGTAATTTCACTGGTGAGTTTTACAAGTGCATGTAAAAAAAGTTTTTTCCTATTTTCTTCTAAAAAATTGGTTAAGACTTGAAAAGAGGTTTATAGGAACATTTTTACTGATTCATATTTCATAGGATTATATCATCAATTCAATTGGTCTTCTGCAGCAGTTCTGCCCAATTTTCTACTTAGGAATTAGAATTAGTCTCCAAGTATGGTAGCTACTGAAATAAATAGGAATTAATTCATCTAGCAGACTAGCAGTAAACTAACAGTTCTCAAAATGGCAGGAAAGCTCTACCGTCAAACTGGGTAATAAGGGACGGGTGGGGTAAATTGAGACTTGCATCCCACAATTGGTAGAAATATTGTAGCAGCTAAAATGATCAAAATTTTGCAAAACTAAAAATAGTGGTGTAAACTTCACATTTTTACTATCTATTATGTATAAAGCTAGTTAAGAAATCATAGCTACTGATACTATCTCTAAAGAATTGCTGAAAAAAAGTGTGAAAAGTTCAATTTTGGAAAAGTAACTCTACTAAGGGCTGTAGCAAAAAAGATATTTGCTGTATTAAAAAATTTTACTTATATAAAAGTTGCACACAGGTGTTGGCTTGAAAACACGATTGATGTAATTTGCCTACTGTCAACCGGGGCTACTCCGGACGGGCGGGGCTACTCGGGACAGTCCTGCGACACGGCGTAAAACTGTTATAGTAGCAAAACTAATTGGAATATTGCAAAACTAAATATAGTGGCATAAACGTCAACATTTTTCCTATCTATGTAGTATAAAGGAAGTTGAAAAATACTACATTTACTAGCTTTGAAAAATTCCTGAAAAAATGGTGAAAAATGGTATTTTGAAAAGTTACTTCTGCTAAGATCTGTAGCCAAAAAAATATCTGCCGTATTAAAAATTTTACTTAAATAAAAGATGCACCCAGGTGTTGGCTTGAAAACGTACGGAATTGTCCCATCTCATTACAAAAAAAAAAATGGTGGCCATTTCCACATGGCGGGGCTACTCGGGACACCCCCCTGGGCTATTCGGGACACCCCCAAAAACGCATTTACAGTAGAACCTCAGTAAGCAAAGGCTCCAGTTAAGAAAAAAATGGATTAAAAACAAAGAATATTGATTACATTAATCTCGCTCGGCAAAAAAATTTCACTTATCGAAAAATTTGTGCATCATCGGTCATCACGAAATTGTACATAGAATGCTATATATATAATTGTGCACCAGGCATCATAGAATGAATAGTAATTGACCTAAACTATGATTTATTTCTCCAAAATATATGATGGTTGTCACTAAAACATTCCTTTCTGTTCCAGGTATGTTTTTCACGATCTTTTTTTTTTATAGTAAATTCACTTAACCCAATTAAAATAGCGCATAAACGAGCGCATGGCGCATAAATGAGCACTATTTTTTTGCCATGTCCGTCTCTCTGTCTGTCCATCCGTCAGTGACCTCAAGTATTCGTTGACAAGAAAATGCGCTCTCTGTCACTCACTGCAGTGAGTACTGGTACTGTGTTATATTTTTTTATAGAAAATTCACTAAACCCAATTAAAATGGTGTGAAATTACAAGCCATCCTGTGAGCTTACAGATACAGAAAAAATGCTATAAGGCTGCTGATATGAAGCTTGTAGTGGACAAGGTTGTTGTAAATGCTCAATGGCATGTTCATGGATATGGTAATATCACATCAACAATACAGTAATATCACATCAATAATACTGTACTGTCAACTGGGGTGACTTCTGCTGCATTTTTTATTTTGTTTTGCAAACAAAAGCGGGGTCATAAAGAATGGCCAAAGTCACTCTGGCGTTTATGACCTTGTTTACGACCCTGGCATTTATGACCCCGGTGTTTACGACCCCGTTTTTGTTTGCAAAACAAAATAAAAAACCTGGCCAAAGTCACCCCAGTTGATGGTAATTAATGTTTATGGTAATATCATCAATAAAGGAAAAACAAGTAAAAATCACTGAAAATGTCATTTATTCTACCTCTACATCATCTACAATGAAAGAGGAAGACTTCAGAGTACTGTTAGTAATGGATGAGTACACTCTGCATGCTTCAAATATTTTAAAATGAAGTTTTATTGCAAGTGTCCCGAGTAGTCCCGTTTGACGGGGCTGCTCGGGACACTTTTTTTTTTTGCTTCTGGCACCTTAGGAATAGCATATGGAATTTTTTTGACAACGCCATTCGATAGCTCTTACAAAGAGCTATAAAATGAGCCTAAACTTGTTTATGAAATGTTTCATCGTAAGAAGTTATTAACAGTTATTGACAAAAAAACGCTCAAAACTGTCCTGAGTAGCCCCGGTTGATGGTATCTCATTAAAAAAAAAATGGCAGCCATTTCCATGCTATTGGGTAATAAGGGACACCCCTAAAAATGCATTTATAGTTCAACCTCAGTTAGCAAAGTCTCCAGTTAAGAAAAATATTGATTAACAACAAAAAATTTTGATCACATTTACCTTGCTCAGCAATACAAATTTCACTTGTAAAAAAATTAATGCATCGTCGCTTTTTGAGGGTCATCACAAGATTGTGCACAGAAAGTCATATGTCGTATATAGAGTTGTGCACTCATATAGTTGTATACCTACAACTATAGTTGTGCACTATAGAGTTGTGCACTCGAATAGAATACCATTCAATAGCCCTCGCAAAGAGCTATAAAATGAGCCTAAACTTGTTTAGGAAATGTTTCATGGTAAGAAGTTATTAACAAAAAATGCTCAAAACAATCCCTTATTACCCCATTTGATGGTACTTGACTTCTGGTTCATAAGATAGACTATTTTGAAATTAGAATCAATCTGGGATTATAGGCAGAGTTTTCAAAAAATTGTAGGTAAAATCAATTGTGTGACTGGTGATTTTTAACAATCATGGGCAAAAAAATTCTGTTTTCTCAATTTTCATCGAAAATATTTAGGATAAGCCAAAGAAATTAATGAAATTCAATCATATGTTTTTTTTGGTCTTTTTCAATGGTGGTTTCTGGCCTATCTTCCTGTCTGGATGTCATAGAGTGGCAAACAAGTTTTTTACACTATGTTTGTTTCTAATTGCCTGATCTACAGGGTGATTCACAGAAACTTCATTACTTTGAAGCTTGATAAAAAAGTAGTAAAGATATTATTACAATATAAATTTTATTGAAAAAGATATAACCTGAATTTTAGATTACTTGGTTTTAAAGGTGACATTGGAAAAATGATGGCCCCATTGTCATTGCATCCATTTGATTTTAGAAGTTCTGTTCATATCTGCTGAAGCATATTGATGGGTATGTTGGCAATGGCTTGGCATATGTTTTTATTCAAGTGAAGTAGGACCCTTGGACAGTCATTGTAAACAATTGATTTTTGATAACCCCATACAAAATCACATGGAGCCAAATTTGGAGATTGGGCTAGCCAAAGAAGGTTTCCTCTCAAGGAGATGAGATGCTCTGCACAATGTTGTCTCAGAATATCCATTTAACATTGTGCCATGTGGGCCGTGACTCCATTCTGTTGGAACCAGACATCTGACATTCATTTAAGCCAGTTTTGGCAAAAAAAGGCATAAATCATATGCATATCTGAATAGAAACCTGACCTGTTTCAAATATGGTTCTGAGCATTGAATGCTCATTAGAGAAAATGGAAGGGCCATTAGAAAAGTAGGCCTCAACAACAAATGAACGCTGCTCACTTTCATAGTGAGAAGATTTGCAATGCTCAGTGGCAACTGACTAGACAGGACTTGAAACTTCATAACCTTGCCTTTCATATGAAATATGTCTTGCCCTTTTCCTACAATATCTGGCTAGTGGGAGGTGGGAGGTACAAAGTGGGAGGTTTCTGCTAATCACTCTGTAGTTTAAATTTTGTTCAATAAACTATGGATAATGGAAGTAAATATTCAGGGCACTCACTCACTTGTTGGGAAGGTTAACAAAGATGTCTCATTTGCCAGTGGCAAATGAGACTTCCTGGCAGTGGCAAATTGTCACCATGTATTCTAGTGGTAATGAGCCAAACTGGACAATCTGGCAAAAGCCACTCATTCAAGCTGATGATCTACCTATATACAATTATACTGTGATTGTCATTTAATTGATCACATTACCAATAATATTAATGATACAAGATTGTTATTAATTTACTATATAATACCAATACAAATTATGATACAATAATAAGGTTTAAATTTTATGGTAAAGTTTTGTATTTAATTGAATTTGGGAAAGAGAATGTTATCACCCTTAATCAAGGCCGTGAATAACCAGTTTTCATGTCAATGGGCAAAGACAACTACCATCCTTATGTATGTTCTGTTATTATATTCTATTATGCCTGAAGAAAAGTTCCAATGACCAAGCATGGAATATACTTACTACATTTCATGCCAGATTAGAACATTCCTGCCTTTGAACCCCTTTTCATTCTAGATGAATGTTACGCATCCTCTCCACTTGTTAACAAGCCCTTGGTTATTAAATCTACCTATCTTTTATATATTAAAATTAAATATTATGTGTCAGAGCATGCAAAGACCAGAAGATAAAAATATCACCTACACATTTCTTGTTATATTTACTGGCTCTAGCCATGAAATTAGCTAGAAATCAGTTTATTAAATGTATTAAAAATTAGGAATAGGTAGGTATATATCATGTACAAATTGGTGTAAACTGTAATAGAGAAGTGTACATACTTGTACAATAAATTTGCAAAATGTAAAATCATGTTGCTAGATGTTGTGCATTTTACTTTTGAATTTAATCCTAATGTTTGCATTCATATAAAAATTGTCATCATCAATGTATTTAATTTTTTCAGAGACAACTGCCCAGCAAAATGAGTTTGTATCCATCACTCGAGGACATGAAGGTGGACCAGATGGCAAAGGTTAGACCTTTTACAGACTATATTCTTCTCACATATCTTCTCATGCACATATTGTAATTTATTTCTTTTCATAATGAATTACCTAACTTTGATTCAGTTCAATGTATTGTGTGCCAATGATCTTAAGAAGAATTTGGTATGAATGGGATTTTACAGTTCTTTTCAAAATAGTGAACAGTTGTTTAAATAGTTCTCTTGGTACCCAAAATCTTTTTGCAAAAAATTCAGGAATCCACGTGTTTATACACACAGCCATGTCTGCTCTGCCAATATACATGAAAAATGTTTTGCAGGCCCAACAGGAGATAAGTAACCGCATCATAAGTGCTGTGGGTGGGATGCCTTCCTCAAGTGGCGGGTCTGTGGCAGCTCCACCCTATCCTCTTCATCCTGAGCATGTGGGTTTAGAATTCCAGATATTTACTTAGGGTACCATATGATTTCCTTTCATTTGCTCTTAAGTTTCTTATTGGAATTTGTCAAATAGTTTGCTGACCAAAAATATAATTTGCATATTTGCAATTAAATAAGTTTTTTTTACTCAAATTGGTATGCTTAGTTACTTAGTGTTTCTGCTCTGATTATAATGTCGACTTCATATTCTACAGTATTTTAGAGAAGAAAATTAGTAAATAATATCCCCTAGTATTTATTTACACAAAATTAATACAATAAACTTCATTTGACTAACACATACTGGTTAAAAATAAGTTTCTGGAAATTTTTTTGAAAGATAGGTAATCAATTACTTCTACTGATAAAAATTGTGTAGAAAATGAGAAAAGTACTTGCTATCCTCACCAAAAATACATGCTCTTACATCCTCACCATTTATCATGTTTTTCCAGAGTGGAGGGCATGCATACCCAGGGTTAAGTGAGTACATGGGCTTGGAGTTCACTGATGAGATCCTCAGACTCAACATGCCCGAGTACCTGCCTGGTCAGCAGCTGCAGCCTCTGCATAGTAATCAGGTATTCTATTATACATTATAGTTTCTTTCTACCATGCCACAACCTGTACATGCTAGTCAGGTATTCTATTATACATTATAGTTTCTTTCTACCATGCTGCAGCCTGTGCATGCTAATCAGGTATATTATTATTATCTTTATAGTTTCTTACCACCATGCTACATCCTATATATGCTAATCAGGTAAGTTATAGTTTATTATGATTTTATCATTTATATATTCCTGTAAAAGAGACCATTTTGCCTTTTGATCTATAGATCTGATTTAATGCAGTCTACACACTCATTTAATCATTTCAAGTTGATTAATAATTTTAGAGGATAGAATAAATTGATACTTAGGTGATTTAGTCATGTGTATTCTGAATTTACTTGGTATCCGTTTGATGTCAAATATTATGTATGGAAAAGGTAATTTATTGCTTCTGGTTATAACATTGTATGACTGTGCATCATATTATTATTTTATATGAAAACAGTGATCGATTGCTTCTTTATTTAAACTTGTATGATTGTTTTGAGGTGGTGGCTGCTACTCCAGGCTTCAACCAGCAGTTGGTAGCCCCCATCTCCTCAACTGCCATGAATGTCATCAGCCACAGCACTCCCACTAATGCCATCAGACAGGTCAGTGCTTAGGTTCACCTTGCTTGTGCACGAGATTATTTAAATTTATGTTATTTTATTATTAAAAGCAATCGTGTATCAAATGTATTATAAATCATGCATTCTGCATTGAGTTATTTTCAGTACATGTTCAAACAATAAAATCACATACAATTCTGCTTTCTGTTATTTTTAGTATGTATTCAAACATACATTTATTTTAAATATCTTATTTTGCTATGCAGAATTTATAGTAGGTAAATTTTCATCTCATTAACTATACTATGAATGCTTAGTTATAGGTTTAGATTGTTCCTTTATTCTGAAATGAACCATTGATCAAGAAGATAATTTTAACTGCAGTTGTAGAAGAAATTTAATCCCAACTTTAAATTATAAGGTAAACTTGTATACTATTTCTTAGAAATTTGGATAAAGGTGGTAAAATTTTACTTTAAAGCTGGTAAACCGCCATTAGACAAAGTAATCACGCTAGAACTTTGATCCTGCAGGTTGTGCTATGCAAAGACGCAAACGGCAAAGTTGGCATGAGAGTCAAAGACATCAACAAGGGTGTCTTTGTCTGCTTGGTCATGAAAGATTCTCCGGCCGCGCTTGCAGGTCAGTTGTTTAAGTGTAATAAGTTAAGCTGAATAATAATAGAAAGTGGGTCAGATGGATTCATATGATGTGCTTCAATCCCGTTTAAATAAGACCTAGTGAACAATTGTGAATAAATACCTACTTGGTAGTCAAAACATCTGTGATAGTTGCTAAGAAGATAAGCCATAACTAGTTGACACACAAGTGACGGTTAAGAAACACGCTATAGGACGTGAAACGATTGCTCAATTATGCTTGGACTTTCAGGATTACGTTTTGGTGACCAACTATTGGAGCTAAACGGCACGGTATTGGCGGGCCTGTCCACAGACAAGGTGCATGCGCTGGTCAAGAAGTGTTCGGCAAACAACATCTCACTTGCAGTGAGGGACCGGTGAGGCAGCATCATGTTTCTTTCTTCCTACGCTATTTAAGTTTGAGAACCATTAAGTTTATGTGTGACATTTTTATTTTAACTCTATTTTTATACAGGGCAGTGATTCCAACTGGGTATCAAATACCCTTTTGATTAGTTGATCACTTGTGTTGTAATGAAATATAGTACAACGGATAAATCTTTTGGTTGCTAATTAAGGAATATTTATAGGTGGTTGCAACATTGGTGGCGTGTTGTGCCATATTGAATTGGGCTGCGAAGTAGAAAACTTGAGGAGCCCTCTAGTTAGAGTATACCGGCTTATATCACTATAATTTCTTTTTTGCTCCAAACTCCTAGCAGGTTGTCGTGTATGTTTGCTTGCCGCCAGTATACCTATTACGGAGGTTTTGCATTGATTTTTAATGAGCGACTTTTCAACATAGCTCAGGATATTGATTATTATGAATTACGGTAATTATTTATTATTCATTGATTATTCAATCTGCACCCATTAAATGACTGTAAACCTCTATTGGTTTGGAAGAGGAACACTCGTGCTGGCTAGGTACTTCGAATCTTTGTCCCCATAAAAATTGAACATTGGCAATAATATTTGTATATAAAGGTTAGTTAATGAGTTGCTGTCATTAGGCAAATGGTTAAATGTTCATTTTCCGTGTTTCATTTATGCTTGCGGCTGTCGTTTATTGATGATGAATAATTAATATCTTAGACAATGTAGTAAAAGAACAACAGATAGCTTGCTTCTCTGCTTACTATGCATTCATATTTAGAATACAGTTCACGATAAATTATCCACCACCCACGCCTATAAGATGTGTTTTTCTACTTTATACTTCTATCAGACAGTAATTATATCTATTATTGCGCTTGCAAGTATCATTATATCATTCACTTGTATGCCGCAGGCGCTTGCAGGTATCATTATATCATTGATTTGTTTTACACAGGCGCCTGCAAGTATCATTATATCATTGATTTGTATTGCACAGGCGCCTGCAGGTATCATTATATCATTGATTTGTATTGCCCAGGTGCTTGCAAGTATCATTATATCATTGATTTGTATTGCACAGGTGCTTGCAAGTATTATTATATCACTTTTTTATGTAATGTGCAGGCGCTTGCAATTGTTATGTATTTATTTGTATTGGGCAGACCATTCGAGCGAGCTATCACATTGCACAAAGACAGCCACGGTCACATCGGCTTCCAGTTCAAAGATGGCGAGGTGATCGCCATCGTGAAGGACAGCTCCGCGGCCAGGAACGGCATGGTCATTCAGCATCAAATGCTCGAGGTATTCAAATCTCTAATAAGCCTTAGTATCTTTAATATTTCACATTCCTTTCATGTGGCCTTCACTGATTTATGTTGTTGTCCGGATGGATCAGTTTATATTCGACTCGAATTCAGAATGATTTCGGTTCTATATTTTTCCCTTCTAAATCAGGCGATGAAAATCCTCTGTTTCAAACTCTCGTATTCTGATAACTGTGAATTACAACTATGGGGAATGTATTACAAAGTATACATGTACATCACAATGCATTTATATTTTAAATTCCCAGTTATCAGTAAAGGCGTTACTTTCAAAAGTTTTCTATTATTTGTGTATTGAATTGCATTTGTTTTGGTCAGGTAAACGGCCAGAACGTTGTGGGTCTGAAAGACAAGGCGATCACGGAGATCGTGCGTGACAGCGGCAACATCTTGACTGTGACGATCATGCCGAGCTTCGTGTACAAGCACATGATGAAGCACATGGCTTCGTCTCTAACCAAAATCATGGACCATGCGTTGCCTATGCTTTGAGTACTATCAAGTTTGTGGAATTATATGTCTTGGCTCGAATATTTACTCTGCTGTTGGGCATAATTACTAATTTCTTTCATCTTTTTCATTGTTATGTTGTATAACCTACCCCTCATGATGTATGATGAATATTATCTATTGTAGAAGGCTAGAACACTTTATCGGCATTTCGCTTTCTCGTCTGGTCTCAAATGTTATCTTTGGCGCATGCTGCAGGCTGTTTCACTATTGCAGCTCGTTGGAACAGCTTTGAGGCAGTTGAGGAGTAAGTGTTTACAACTTCATAGAGATCTTTAGAAAAATTTAAGCATAAATTGCACCTGCTGCCTTTTAATCTGCACTTCAATATTTTACGAGACCTCGGTGTAGATTTAGTTTTCTGCTTACTTAAATCACAAACTTATCAAGGCTTGATTGTGTGCAATGATTTAGGCGGTCGAAATTTACCACTGTTAATGTATGCGTGCAGAACGTCGGTTTTAAGGATAATGGCACCATGTTGTACCAGTACGACACCTGTTATTTACCTTCTAATTCGGACCAAATATAATAGAATCGCAGTTTATACTATGGGAGAAAATCTCGTTTTTTAAACATGAAATTTTTAAATCATAATAAGGTTCGATTTTTTTTTCAGCCATTACAGGTGAAGTAAATTTTGAAATTCGTATCTTATTAACATTATCCATTCTGATACTTACAATCCAACCCTGGCTGTCGACTAACAGGGTTGTCGGATTTTTTTAATGTTGGTTCTTTCCTATGAGTCTATCGTCTCGTAAATGCTCTTAACGTACCTTTCAACGTATTAAAGCTGCAAAGCCTTATTGATATTAAAGCATAAAAAGGACCATTTTTGTCCAGCGACGAAAAGAATAAATTGTAGAATATTACCATTCATACATTTATTTGAAATCTTTATCATTTGACCTGTTCAACTAAAATTTGTCCATCGACTGCCATTTAATTCTTCGTACTAACACATGGTTCTCTGCATTTATTGTTTTAGATAACTATACGGGAGCTCTAGTGACTAGTCTGCACGAAACATTGAATTAATGTCACACTTAACGGGGACCTGAAAAAATATATGAAAAAATCGTTTCTTTATAAATCGCAATCAATTCAATAAAATTAAAGTTGCTGTGAAGAATATCAATGTCATAGGATTTTTTATATAACAAGTTTATCAATTCGTATGATTTTTTACAATCGTTTTCATACCTTCATCCTTTTATCCGAGCTGTTCGTACACTCAAGTGCCAACGTTTATAGTGATATTCCTAAGATCATTATTGAAAATATATTCATGTGTATTGTTGTACATTTGGTACTGTAGAAATTATGTAAACTAAAATATTTTTGATTATTCGGCTTTCTTACAAATCTGAATGCGTTATTATTTTTTTCGTAGCTGTAAACATTACAAAGATTCTTTATAATTTGTTTAATTTGACAGGCAAAGGACAATATTTTTGTGCCGTTTTTCGTACGGGGATTGTTTGTTTCTGTTTGCAAAAGTGTCAAGTTTCTATTATTCTTGTTGTAATTACCTCATTATTGTGAATAAATGCAATTTACATTTGTAAATGAATTCTGTTGCGCTTTTCTTGTTCCTTCCACAGAGATCCTGGTATCCTGAATAATTTGATTGATTATTGACGGATTTTGAGTGTGCTCGAACGAGCATCACTCCTTCACGACTCAATGTTTGGGATAATTAGGACGAGTCGCTGCTTTTGGTTGAAAAACTGATTACTACTTCAAGATTGCTTTCCGGTTTCTGAGAACCATGCATTTCAGTGTTCTACATTCTGGTCATATTATAGCTTACTCGAAGTTTTTCCGCCAATTCGTCTTTTCTCTAGTTTGTGAGATTTGATTTTTTGACATTTTTGAAGTGCGACCCTGTGCCTGAGTGTCTGGCGCCTATGAAAGGTTTGAATAAACGAGTCCAATAGTAACCTAGGATTAATGATATATTTACTTAATTGTGCTGAAAATTTAGCCCTTCAGTTGGAGCAGTTGGTAGGATTGGTTCGGTAGGTACTAAGATGCTTTCAACTTGAAGACGTTCTAGCTAGGTAAGCTTGAGTAGGCTTGTAAGTTGTATATGATCATTCTAGACTCTAGAGCTTTCATTTACCAGTAGCGTAAAAGAACAAAAAACCTAAGGCAAGTGAGATAAACTACCCAGTGAATTATATATCACTACTTAGATTGACATTCAAAACCAAATTTATTTAATCTCATGGACTGCACGGGAAGAAAGGGAAGTTGAAGCAACGGACTCCGGCGGGGTTGGCAGGTTGTTGGGGCGGAGCGTTGGGAGAAGGAACTGCAGGTGCCGGTGCAAGAGATTCAGGTACAACCGCTTTTAGTAAAGGCGAGCAATTAAAGAATGGGAAATTAGGGCATTCTGCTGCGGTAACTCCTGCAGGCAGGACAGGTGTGGCCACCGTGTTGGTTGCGGCGAGCGTCACCAGTAGCGCTGAGCAAAAGGTGAAGATTTTCTGGAAAGATACGATGAGGTAACAAAATGTTAGATTAGATCCAATGCTCCGCTGAAAGTTAGTAGGTAACTTTACCTATTTGCGGTATCTGCAGCTTGCCAGCTACAGACAGCATTGGCGATGTCTAGTAAATACGTAGACAAGGGTCTATAACTCTATATCATTGATTAACTTAATACTATACATGTAAAAGTCGTTGACATTGGTAAAGCATCAAATGAACAGTTACACTCTTTCCATATTTATCCATGGTGATCATATTCAATCCACAATAGATAAATTATGGTAATGTGGTCTCTCGTTATATTTTATGCATTCAATTTTAAACAGTTGATATTAAATTCAAGAGAAATATTCGAAAAGAGTAAAATTCAATTAGCATATTTCAATTCAATTACAAGTCATTAATCCCCTTTGTTGTTTACGCCATACTTACGTACCTTGTGCAACGCACCTAGGTAGGTAGCTTGTCAACCAGCTGATTACAAGTGTGCTAAGAGATGATGGAAAGTAAAAGAGCTGATTTGAATCGCAAAACGGGCTAAAAACAGCCAGCAGTTCAATATTTATAAATAATATTTAGTAAATATGTAAATTCTGGTACACAAATTCAATATTTAGTTTTTTTCTGAAAATATAAATTACACTAGTTTTAAAGCCAGAGTATATTTTAACCGGTTCCTTAAATTGCAAAAGGCAAAAATCGACAAATTTGGCCGGCGAAAGGCCCAACTGGCAACCCTGAATGAAACCGAGAGTGGATAATGGATATATGTCAGTGCCGTGGCATCGATGAAACTGTGAATGATATTTGAATGGTGGCAGGGCTGAGAGTGAATCTGGTTTACTGGATTTAGCAGTTCAGTTTTGCGTTGACAGTGATCAAAAATGGCTACCAAATTGCTGCAAATGATTACGAGTAATGCATCGGCAAAGGCGAAGTGACTGATAGCGGAAAAATTAATCGAAACGTGTCCAACTTAGTTCTTCAAGTGCTAGAAGTGAAAGTCAGAATTTCGTGTCCGCAGTATCGTAGTTAACGCGATGTTCTCAAAATGGGCTTATTTTGACTAGCCTTTGATTACGTATGATTTGATTAGTGCTCAAGACTAAGGTATTGAATGTATAACAATTCATTCCCGCCATCAAAGTCCTTTGGTTCAATATGTGAATGCGCATGCGCCTTGCAATATTTTTTTCTTCTTAGTCGTCAGAACTTGTTCACAAGGACGCCGTTTAGAGACGCCACTTCGCTAGAGGTAAGTGACTTTTTATCATCAAATCCCCTATAATAAAAATGCCTATTCCTTCGGCTAATCTGTTACAAATATTTTCAAGTATTGCATGTGTTGCCTAGTACAAAGCATGCGTATTTATGAAAATAGACACTTCCATGCAGTCCAATTTAAATTTGTCTCTATTTTAGAGAAGAGGCATTTAATATGTCAATTACTTTCTAAATATCGTTTCGCGATCAAATTTTCTTAATCAGTACTAGTATTTCTTTCTGAGTACTATCATTTCAAATTGCTCAGTAATATTGAAAAAGATCTTGCTTATTTTAAGATGAGGTTTACTATTTTGCGATGATATAACATGATGGAACGATTTATTGCTGTATATTAGATTATTATAAAATTTTCATAGCCCCAACAATTATATTATTAGATTTGAAACGACCTTCATTTTATACAGAGGCAAAGAAAAATTGATCTGTGTTGGGGACTGAAAAAAACTTGTGTTATTAATATAACAATTCGTATAGAAACTCACCAGACCAGCCATTGTGTTGATGTTTCTATTCCCAAGTCTTGCTTACAACTGAGGCTCCCTCTCTTGTTGCTCCTTATATATACACTATACCCTGTCGGGCGTAACGCTCTACGAACAATAGAGCGATTAAATTCATATATTTTTGATCAAATTCATATATTACATGAATGTAATATTTTGTATCTAACGAGGCCGGAAAATTAGCTAGGTATGTCACGCCGTAAACTCAAAATCAATAGCATTCGTTAACGAAAAAATCATTGTTTTATAAATTATTAGGCGTTGATGTTAATTCCGAATGCATTTGACAGCGATTACTTGTGCACGTGAATTTCTGAAAATTTGTCTACGAAAACGAACTGAATTCGAATGTCTCTTTTGCACATGTTGAGATGACTCAGCACAAGGTGCTAATTTTGTATTCATTGCTTTATGGAAACATGATTTTAAGCTCATTTAATTTCACCGAAAATACGTTTTTTATGAGACAAAAAAGAAATAGATGTTAAAGGAAGTAAATTCTCGCTGTAGTTATGACGCACATTAATATAAGGTGAGTCATGACATTTCTCTCGATATTCATGGTCAGGAATAATGTTTGTAATTATTACGGGATTTTTGACCGCTATAACATCCATGCTCGTTGTTCTTGATCGTCGCTTCGCTAACGGTCGGACATGACGGAGAGCTTCCTGTTAGACCCGAGCGCGGTAATCGTTTAAGGTGCGGGCGAATTGGCATGTGATGCTTGGCAAATATGATTTTCAAAACAGTTTTTGAAGAAAAATATATCCCTTTTTGTTATTATATTTAAATTTATATTATTCGGTTTGTAAGATTCATGCCTCACTATAACACAGTGTCCACACTCACTCACCTATTATAACCCCACGAAGCTGAGATTAACTATCCCTATTGTTTATATTAACAGATGGAAAAGCAGGTCTGTTGTGGTCTTTGAAGATTAATATGCCAATGGCATGAAGCGCGAAAATTTTGATATGTCGATGGCTTGCAGCTCAGAATCACCATACTGGATTTGGCATTTTACATCGAGGCAAAATAGGGCTTCAGATGAATTTTTCAGGTCGTAAAAAGCTTATGTGCCTACGGTTTTATTTTAGAGTGAAATGAGTCTAACAAAAGACTTAAAATACATACATATGCGGAGACTGACCCAAGTGTCTTAAAAATTTGATTCAAGATTCGATTACATTTTTACAACACTTCTCTTTAACTTCACTTCTTGTTTGTTTGTTTGTCTGTCTGTCTGCTACAAATCTTGTAATCGAAATTTAACACACTTCTACTTATCCTATCGATCTGAAATTTTGCGCACTTGTTTAAAGTTGGAGACAATGCATGAATCAAATGTCAAAATAAATTATTTTAAAAATTCAATTTTTTTTCAATATTAAACGAATTGAAAAAATAATTTTTGTCAGCTACAAATCTTATAACTGATATTTGACACACTTATACCTGTCTAATTGATCTGAAATTTTGCACACTTGTGTGAAGTCAGAGGTAATGCATGAATAAATTAATAGAATAAATAATTTTGAAGAAAATTAATATATTAAAAAATTTATATATTAAACAATTGAAAAATAATTTTTTTAATATTCAAAAATTAAATGAGAAATTCATTGTACATCTGTAAGATTGGAGACACTGGATTCTTTGGAAGTGTTGTCTTTAAAAAGTAATTTTTAAACGTATATTATTAATGTTGAACTAGGTAGTGAATTGCAAAATTTTCGACACTGATGTTTTTGAGACACAAATTACACAATGCGTGAAACTGATTCAAAAAGATTATGCTTAAATATGAACTAATTTGGGCATATCTATGGACTCAGTTAATGCATTGCTTTTTATGCCTCTATAAGCAAAGCCTGTCAGACAAGCAACATTTAACAAGTATTTCTGGGGCTTACGAGTTAAAAAAAAAAAAACAAGGAATGCCCCTAGGCTGCCGCATCGATGGATGGTCGGTCTCCAAGTTTGTGATAAGTTGTAGACCTTGTGGACCAGCCCTGCTGCATCGCCTTGTAAATTAAGTAAAGTAATTCCTGGTCTAACGCGTCGCACTGCCGGAGTCTGCGCGTACGTCGTGCGAGATTTATAATGTTAATGGTGAACTGATTTAATAATTTGCTTAGATATTTTAGGCATTTAATTAGCAAATAATTAAAGATTTTCGATAAAATTATTATTCTAAGCAATTATTTCACGATGTAACTGTTGATTACTACCAGGTAAATTTTTTTCTTTTAATTCTATGATTATTTAGTTTTGACGCGACATTGGGATCAACAATAAAAGCACGATGAATATTTCCATTACAATGATAGCTACATCTATGAATTATTAATGGATTTCAGCATCTATAAACATTGCTATTGCTGGTGGAACTCAAGGTTATTTATCTCAAAGTCATGCACAATATTTTAAGTGTATATAAATTACGTTGATGTTAGATCGTAACTTTTTCCACGATGTTATTTAATTTCATTAAACATTGCGCCGGATCCCTCGAGGTTCAATAACATGATGACCGGCATCTTTCTGTAACGCATTTTTTTCTATGATGCCGTTTCCTTTCTTTGGTACATTTTCTTTCTGTAATGCATTTTCATTTCTGTGATGCATTTTACTTTCTGTAATGCATTTTCTTTTCTGTGACGCATTTTCATTTCTGTGATGCATTTTACTTCCTGTAATGAATTTTTATGTAATGCATTTTTTCTGTGCGATGCGTTATCTTTTCAATGATGCATTTTCCTCTCTGTAGTGCAATTTCTTTAAGTCATGCAATAACGTATGGTGGCCGGCAGTTCTACTTCTACTTAATATTTAGGACATTGCATCCTCTAAATAAGATCTTTGTCCAAATTTCCAAACTACCCCTCCACTTGTAGGGAGAAATGCCAAAACGTGAGCTCCTGAAAAATATGTACTATTATTTTTGAGTGAATAAGACTTACTATAAAAGTAATAGATGAGAAATATACGACTGTATAGTAAGTAAGATAGCAATAGTATAACAGTTATGCGAAGTTAAACTATATTAAAATTTTATGAGATGAGCAGACAAGCCTGCAAATTTTTATGAAAAACTTTAAACCGTGAATTTTATGATGTTCTTAATGGCATGATGACTGATTTTAACTGCCAGCGAATACCTCTTGATTTTCTAAAAAAAGTATTGAATACCGTTGGTGAGAAATATGACATATCAAAATGTACCACAGAGATGAATATATTCATAAATTTCTTGCTTATGGGGCACATTAAATATGAAGTTCCGTTTGCATACGCATTGATATCCACTTTTAAATAAACTTCTCTTCAACTTCACTTGTTTGTTTGTCTGTCTGCAACAAATCTTAGATTCAATATTTAACACACTTCTACCTGTCCAATCCATCTGAAATTTTGCACAATTGCGTTAAGTCGGAGACAAGCATACGAATAAATTTACAAAATAAAAAAATGGAAATGAAAGTTTTATTTTACATGATTAAAAAATAATTATATTGCTGTTGATTCTTGGGGTGACTTTCGTTGCCGGTTTTTAGGTTATAATTCCATTGACGACGGTTAATGTTATCTATGGAAAAATAGTTGATATTTTGCCTATACTGACTGTTAATCTCGTACCCTGGTCGTTAGGTAAGAATAGCATTGAAAACGGTTGGAGTTTATTTTAAGCTATAGTGTTTAAGTCTAATGCTCAGATCGTTATTTGATTGAGTCAGAAATTTACCTCTTCCATTATACATATCTCAAGCAACTTAGTTCTAATAATACTACATATTTTTTATAACATATGTTCAATTTTTTTTAGAACGTGCGTTCGATAAAAAAATCATTGTTCTCCGTTATGAAGCATTTGTGCACCGTAATTCAAGGAACTCTCAATAATTTACTCTATATAGTTTGTATTTTGTACTTGCTATATCCTAACGAGCGACTGACATTTATATTTGGTATAGTTAAAATAGAAGTTATTATAGAATTGAATCTTTGTTATTGAACAAGATTATCTTTTAATATGAACCTGATGTATGGCCAAGCCTTGTATTATCTTAATTTAAATCCTTCATTCGTTTAGAATTATGAAACGTATTGCCAGCCGAAATCCTTCAACATACGAATATCCAATGTTACGAGAAAAACGCGTATATTCTAGCGCGTATTGTTCACTTCCAAAGAAGGTGACATAAGAACTGGATTAGGTTTCAAATTATGAACGAATATTTACTTACTTTTTTGATCGTTACCAATTTTTAATATAAGTTGTGAAAATTTTCCAATTTTCTTTACTAATACATGGGTTTTATCCTGAACTCCATGGATTACAAGTGTAATTATCATTTGTGTCTGGCTGATTATTTGTCCATGATTATTTTACACGCCATGCGGTTATAAGGTAAAATAAATAACAAATTATCGTATATGTTCAGGTTTTATTAGTGTCATAATTTCCTAGGGACAGAAAGGGAAATGTTCCGCACATGCATGATGGGTTCAGGCTGGAGGGAACGGGTGGGCGGCGTGGGTGGGCGCGTTAGGGCTCACGTGTGCGGCGAACGCGTGGGCGGCTTGAGTGGGCGCGTTGGGGCTGACGTGGGCGGCGAGGGTTGGGAAATTGGGGCTGACGTGGGCGGCGAACGCGTGGGCGGCGTGGGTGGGCGCGTTGGGGCTGACGTGAGCTGGGCCGGGGTGGGCTGGTCCAGGGTGTGCTGGTCCAGGGTGGGCTTGTGGGCGGCAGACTGCCAGCCCGACCAAAAGACTTGCTACGAACAACTGCAACAAATGAAATTACCGCATCAGAACATAAATTTTACGTAGCATGAATTTTTTTGCATTTAATGTTGGCACAAGGTAGCAATTGGTCAACGTTTCTCACAGCTAAATATTCGAAAGAATTTTGAGTGCTTGATTATCAGTTTTAGCTAACAATTGTTAGCGATGAGTCACCACTAAACTTGATTACCTTTGTTTGTATTTTTTTGTCGCGTGTTAAAATTAAGGTTTTGTGAGT